TTATTCGTTATACATTCCGCATAATTCGTTATAGCGTTAACGAAGATTCTTATAATGAAGTCCTGATCGGCTAGATCAGCAATTTCGTTATATCGAGGTGTGACTGTATATACTATTAAAATATGTTTTTACTATTCTTTTTGCTGAAAACTGTATATTAATTTTATATTAATTAATTTTGTAAGTTTTTATATCAAAATTACAAAGTAAAAATAATAAAAATAATCAAAAATTGATAATTTATCTTTTAATAAAAATAAATATGTATTATAATTTTATTAATAAAATATTAAGATATAAACTTAAAATTTCAATTTGAAAATATATAACTTTTGTTAATATGATTTAATAATAAAATCATTTGATTTCATATAATTTTGATTCGATTTTGATAATTTATATAATTTTTCAAAAGAACTAGTAAAGAAGTTTTAAATCTTGTATATACTGTTAAAGCAATTACTAATAAAACTTTTTCAGGAATAGCAAAAGCAACTAAAATTTTTTAATAACTTTTTAAAAATTAAAAATGTTAAATAGTTAAATAAAATTCAATTATCAATTTTCAGATACTTTCAAGCTAAAGCATAAATGCTATTTTTTTATTCTATTAATAATAAAATCATATTATCTTATTAGAGAAAAGCAAATCATTTAAATATATATATACTGTATATTAATAAACATCTTGGCTTTTGTATATAATTCTATAATTTCAAATAATTATTGTAACTTAATCTGGTAATTACAAAAAATTTAAAAATCTTATAAAAATGCTTGTGGTATTATTGACATAAAAAATCTTACCTTTTTTAGTATAGGAATAGTTGACTGAGTCATGCATTGTTTATTTGTTGGTTTATGATAATCATCAGTTATTGATAAATAAGGCAGTATTTTTTTTATATACCTTTAACAAATAATTGTAATTGTTAATTAGTATTAGTATTTAATTTAAAAAGTCATTTTGACATAATATTAAAAGTAATATCTACTCTTAGATTTTTAACTAACGGATAACTAATATTGGATCTTGACAACTCAAATTCACCTAAAATGTCCACTTCCCTGACACAGATATAGAAATTTTTTAAAATTATAGATGATCAACAATATTATTGATTTTTTCACATATTGTATATAAACTGATTGGTATAAATAAAGTGATACAATTTTTTTTATTTTTTTCAGGGAAACATCCTCTATTTTTTAGAATAAAGAGATTTTTTTCCTTTCTTTTTTTTATTTATTATGAGTGAAAATCGATGAGAACTAACAAATGAAGAAAGGAACTAAATTATTAGTGCTTGGAAGTGTAATGTGTCAGTTTCTACTATTTATAAAAACTCTAAAATTTAAAAAAAAGTACAGTCTATAGGATTATTAAGTTTTATAAAGAAACTGATGCAATAAAACCTCCTTCACAACCTGGATCACAACCTAAACTAACTAAAAAAAATACACAACATCTTATTTGTTTATTAAAAAAAGATAGAAAGTCTTCCCTAAATGTTTTAACCAATAAATTTATCGAATCAACCTCTACTAATGTTTTATTATGCACTATACAATGATATCTTCATGATAAGGGATTTATGGTCGGGTTGGTAAAAGAAAACCTTTTGTAAATGAAAGGAATTGCAAAATACATTTGAACTAGACACAAGAACAATTCAACTAGAATGAAGAATGAAAGTTCATTGTTTAGAGTGATGAATCACAGTTTGAAGTATTTGGAAGGAATGGCTTGAAAGAAACCCTAAGAAAAATATGATATTGATTGTTTAATTCTAACATTTAAATCAGGTCGTAAGGATGTAATGGTTTAGGGATATTTTAGTCAATTTGGATTGGATCCTTTAATTTGTGTTCATGGTAGACAAAATGCAAATGATTATATTAATATCTTAAATAACCATTTGTTATCTTATTTAAAAGGAATAGATAATCAAAATAATTATATATTTTAACAAGATAATGCTTCAATTCATCGAACAACTATAACTTTACAATAGATTTCACAAAATAATAGTATTGATCAACTTTTTTGGCCTGCATAGAATCCTGACCTCAATCCTATTGGGATGAATTAGAATGTCATATTTGTAAGTATGTTCCTTTACCAAAAAATGAGACAGAATTATTTGATTTGTTGCAGAAGAAATGGATTAAATTAGATGTTACAATTTATCAAATTTGGTTAAAAGTATAGGTTGATATATTCAAGCTGTAGTTAAAGCCAAAGGATATCCTATGTGATATTAATTGGTATCAATAAATTTAATTGATATAATTTTTCAAATAAAAAAATTGGGTGTTGATCAATATGTAACTTTTTGAAAAATTTAAAATTAAAAATCTATAAAAAATTAATGTATTTAATATTATTAAAAAATTTTCCATGACCCGTATCAGGGGAGTGTACATTCTGTAAAGACTATCATAAGTTAAATCTATTCTGTATATTCTTAAATTGTGGTCTGTCAGTAAAAAAATTTTCAGAATTGTTTTAAAAACACATCCATAAAAAAAGAATGTTAGGTTAAAAATACCATATCAAAACAATATATACTGAAAACTGTTACATTAAGTTTAGTAATATATTTAATATATAGTTTATTAAGGGAATCTTTCATCAAAACTCCTAAATCTACCAAATCTACATTCACTAAATAGGTATTTGCTTTTATTGGAGACTTAAATAATCCATATAGTATTTCAAATTTACCATTGCCACCATTGATGTCTACAGAGACTATGAAATCTAACTTATAACTATTGCCTTCTTCATTACATTTTCGTTCAGCACTTGCCATGGACACCTTGTTAGCCCTGTAGTAAAATAAATAGGTATTATTAAAATATAGAATTTTAAATGTCCAACAAAAATAATTGATCATTAATATTTTTTACCAGTTAATATTACGCTCTTGCTCAATAGTGAAGAATAGCTTTAAAAGTGAATACAATAATTCATAAATATGAGTATCTTCTACTGTTTTATTATCATCAAATGAAGTTTTCCAATTCTCACAACTATTGAGGTTTAATATAATTAAATTTGGAATTGCTTAGATAACAACAAATACAAGTTAAGAAATTAATCTACAGATATTTCTACATATTCTGGCATTTTCTTAATAATTTCTTATCAGGATCATCCAATTTCACTTTAAGTTTATAATATGACTGTTCTATCGAGTCTTCAAACTGGTCTTTATCATTTTCTCTGCTGATATCAGAACATTTGTGACAGAAATCTTTAATAATTTTGTTTAGATTATTTTTTTTGATATAAAGTTCTCATCTGGCCAAAAGCTGCTTTCTAATAAATAATGGGATATCAAGTCTCGTTCGTATGGAATTCTCCTCTATCAAAAAAATTGAATTTAATGATCTATATTAAACAAAAAAAATATATATTTCAAAATATATATTGCAATCTTATCATCTGTGTATAATATCTACAGAGGGTCACCAAAAGTCTCTGAACACTTTTTGGCTTATTAAAAAACTTAAAATTTTATAATATGAATAAAAAAAGTTTATTAATATCTTTATTAAAATAAGATATTCGCTAAGTTTTGTATTAAGTAATAAATACTTAGTTAGGCCTCCCTTTGCTTTAATCACAGCTTGAATTCGCTGTGGCATACTATCAACTAAATTTTTGATAGTTTGTATTAGAATTTTTCTCCATGTCTTGTTAACATGTTGTTTGAGTTCAACAATATTGGAAGGCATTTTTTTCCTTCTACGAATGCTTTTCTTAACATCTGCCTATAGGTTTTCAATCAGATTGAGGTCTGGACTTTGAGCCAGCTAAGAAAGTTTACGCAAGCCATTTTCTGTATGAAATTTCTTTGCAACTTTTGATGTATGTAGACGAGCGTTATCCTCCTAGAACCAACCATCACTATTTGGAAATACACACCTCATGGTTCATATGACAAACCTTTGAAGGATAGTAACATATGAGGTACCGGTTGCTGTTCTAAATAATGGAACAATAGGTTCTACACCTTGTTTCGAAAAGCATCTCCAAAACATTCGACTTGGGCTATGCTTTACTGTTACAAAAACACAAGAAATGTTGTATTCTTCACTAGGTTCTTGCTAAACTCTACTGCACTGAGATTGTTGAAATTAAGAAAAGGTTGACTCGTCACTTCACAAAACTTTTGACCAATCGTCCTCTGTCCAACTTTGATGTTCTAAGCACTATACAAGACATACCTCCATATTTACTGATGAGATTAGAGGCTTACGTCAAGTAATATGATTATTTAATCTAACTGCACGAAGTGTACGGCCAATAATGCGAGTTGAAATAACTTGACTAGTCTTTTTATTCCAGAATTGTTAAATTTCTGGAGTACATAAGCAACAGTTCTTTCCATTATTATTGGTTACAAATTTCTTAAGCCAGTTTTGTTATAAAGGTCTAAGAAGGGATGGTCGGTTGGAGCGAAGCCTCGAATTAGTTGTTCTGGTGTCATCCATTCTTTTCAAAGTGTCAAATACTATTGATACACTACATCTGACTGTCGTGGCAATAGTTTAGTAACTATCACTACATTGATGGCAAAAAAATATAGCGCCGCATTGTTCTAAAGTTAATTCTTTAGGCATTATTTAGGTATTTTTGGGATTAAAGTTTATTTGATTCAAAATCAAAATAAATAAATTAGACATGCATTTATTATGTTTGATTTATGTAAACAAGGTCTGAAATATCATATGACCGTAGTATTATTAAGTCACATGATGTTAACGGCATGAAATCACACCTAAAAAATGGTGTTCAGAGACTTTTGGCGACCCTCTGTATATCAAAAGAAAGGTAAAAAAAAACTAAAAATATTTCTGATGGATGAGCAGCATATGTTAATTTACCCTTATTAGCCAAAGAAATAGCTAAACTCTTAAAATCTAAAAATGACTTTGTTATACTGTGGTCATCGATAATCCATTCCTATACAGTACATGTAAACGTTAGTTATTTCAGCTATATGAATTTAGAAAGCTTACAACCACATACATCGGCAATAAATTTTTCATCATTTAAAACCTTCTATTCTAGAATATGTTTTTTAGTAGGTGGAGCTGGTTTTCGAGATTTTCTTTTGAGTTTATTCGTAAAATCATTCTCAATAGAACACTCAATAAAAACGTTAGAAAAACCTTCAGATATAATTTTTCAGGCATTATTCTCTGCAGCTTCACGATATATATTAATACTACTAATGAGATATGCACGTTTTACTGTCATCTGTTACAAGATTAGTGTTATTCATGTTTGAAATCAACAATGAAGAGATTCATTATTTTTTTGTATAACAATTTCATATAAATAAATAATGAAGAACCTTTTCCCGCTCATAGATTATTCCTTCCCAATAAGACTGTAAATTTTTGTTTCTACATTGATTTTTTACCTGCCATAGATATATGAAAGAAAATTAATACTTAGTCTTTACAATAGAAGTAAAAGATTTTAATCACAAAATTAAAATAAAAAAAGTAAGTCGCAATGGTAGGGCTCAGGATGAGAGCTGATACTCCTAATCTAGATGAGAGTGGATCAGAGCTGCCACACACTATCACTCAGGCTGGGATGAGAGCCAATACTCCTAATTCAGATGAGAGTGGATTAGAGCTCCCTACTATAAAAATTACAATACGTCATGATTACATCACCTTTTCTTCTAAATCCATTAAGTTGATTGAATTCAGTTCAGCTGCCTCCCTTAAAAATCTACGAGACTAGTTAACATCAAGATCCTACAAATTCTTTGAAATAGGTGGTGAAGCAATAATAATATTTTTATAAAGTTTCAAAAATTCGGTATAGAACCATACTGCGCACTCCTTCAAATAGGAGATTAAAATTAGAAAAGTTGGATTGACAGTTAAAAAAAGAATTTATTTTTTCTCTACTAAATTGTTATCTAGCACTTACCATTACGCTTAGGGTAGGGTTCAACGATTCTGTTCATGATGAAATGCTAGTATTAATAATTTTTATGTAAAAAACTTATTGAAAAAAAAAGAATTTTAATAATCCAATCCAGGTCTTATCTTTTTATTAGACGTATTTTTACATATTATATTTACGCATTTTAAACTATATAGATAAACTACGCCAAGTATAATAATTTTGAATACAAAGTTGATGATTGATGTACTAAAATGGCCAAAGTATATATTAACAAATACGAACAAAAAAATTTTTTAAAATTTTCGTTCAAGAATTCAGAAAAAAAAAATTTATTATTTTAATAACAACTTTATAACAAATAAAAATCTTTTGCAGTTCACTTAAAAAACAAATAAATCATTAAAATTCATTTAAAATTTATTATCCAAATTTTCTATGATCCAATTTAAATAATTTTTATAATTTTTAATCTTCTAAAAGAGCAAATATGATTCTTTCTAATATTACATGTTAATTTATTGCTATAATTATTTCATGATAATGAATAAAACAATATAAAAAATTTTATAAAACCTGTAAATTACAATAATAAAATAACCTATTTTTAAAATTTTTCAATGACATTAAGAACAAATACAGGAGGTATATTACTTTCATTTTTTTCTAAAATTTATGAGAGTTATTTTTGCCATTTTATCAAATAATCTTTTTAATATTTAAATTAAATAATTTTACTTACCATTTTTAAAAAAAAACTAATTTCTTCTAAAAAAACAAATTTTAAACCAATTCCCAATAGGTTTTAATATTGCAAATCAAATTTGAAAGTGTGTTAAATCTTTAACAATTGACTTAATATGAAATCATATATATGTTATCATGCATATTCTAAAATTGTTACTAGTTTTACTATTTTTATAATTAAAATATTAATTAAAATTTATATCATATAAATTTAATTAATAAGATGAATCAAATTGACTTATATATACATATATAATAAATAAATTATCTGATATTCTATGATTTTTTATAATTAATAATAATTATAATAAATCATTTATAAGGCAAAAAATCATTATCAGGCATTAATAACTTTTATTAAGACATTATTTGTATTAATAAAATTACATTTAAAACATTAATTATATATAGTACAATTTGTATAATAAATTTTATTTATAATTTTTTTTTCTCTTTCTTTTTCTTTTGATTTATATTTAATTCAGAAGATGAAATTTTTTGTAAAGACCTTTTATTCTTTTTATTTAATAGTTGCAAAGCCTTACTAAAACTATTGAATAACTATATAATTTAAATTAAAAGTAATATAAAATTCAAATATAATATTTAAATATAAATAATATCATTATAATAAAATATAAAAATATTCTATAACTGCTTTAACTTGCATCAAATGTTAACTGAATTGCTGTATCATGACCTAATGATTAGAACTATAGAATAATATAAACTTATCAGAAACCTTTAAACATCCTAATGAAAAAACAAATAAGAGTGCTATTATAATTGTCACAAGAAAATTTTATAAGTAAACAATAGCTTAATTATAGAATATTGAATAAATCACTTATCTATCACTTTGAACTGAATAACTATTGTTAACCTATAGGTAGCTAATAATATTAAAAATCAAGTTTGATTTTTCTAATATAATAATTATTTAACATTTCATGCTAAATAACTATTAATTATATTAAATTATATATTTATAATTTTAACTATAATTATTAAATTAATTTATAATTTATTTAATATATGAAATTGTAAAAACTTTATTTATAAAACTAATCTAATTATATCCTATTAATTTTTACTATTAAATAAAATAAAATTTAACATAATGATAGATTTTTTAGATAATTGATAACTTTTTTTACTTAATTACATTTAGCATTTACATCTAAAACTAAAAGTAAATATAAATTAATATTATATTAATTAATGTTAATAGGATATTTTTTTTTATTCAATATTTTTTAAATCAAAATTCTCTTTTAAATAAATTATTTCATTAAGATTATTATAAAATTTTCATTCTTAAATTAAATTTTAATTTTAAATTTTAAATTTAAGTATAATAAAATATAATAAAATATTAATTCTTTTTATTTGAGAATAAATATATCTAAATTAAAACATTAAATTTTATTTCTTCCAATAATAATAAATATATTATTTCAGAATTTAATAATACATGTATTTCTTTAACATATAAAATTATATATAGAACTATAAGTTATTTGCAAATCTTAAATTAATTATAAATCTAAAAATAAAATTTAATTTAATTATTTATTAGTATTAATAATAAAATTTATTAAAATAAATAAATAATCATACTTTTTAGCATTAAAAATAAATAAATCAATAAATATTTTAAATGTTATTATATATATAGTATTATTAAAATAATTATATATATTTTGTACTAATTTACTATTATAAATATTAAAAAAAGATACCAGATATAAAGATATTTTTAATTTAAAAAATAAAATTAAATTATAAATTCTATCTTGTTTTAATAGAAAGAAAAGATAAAATAGGTTTAATTGATAAATTTAAATTATTTTAAAGAAAGTAAAGTAGGAGATTCAATAGTATTTAAAGTAAGATAATTAAATTATCTATTTTTTTGTATTAAATAATAAGTAAAAAAAATTTTAATATATAATATTCTATCATTAACAATATAAAAATTTTAATTTTTAATTCAAGTTTTCTCAAATAATTATAAATGTAAGTTAAAAAATAATTATATTTTATTAAAATAGAAAGATTTTAAAGGATTTTAATATACAGTATAAGCGGTATTATTTAAAATAAATAAGATCATATTTTTAAAAGAAATTGAATAATCAT